ATTTACATGACTGTGTGATCAAGTAATAGTTACAACACAATAAACATCTTCCACTCAGACAACCAGTCTACATACTCACAAACCACGCAAGCGATCAAGACACTCCCTCTCTGTGAGCACAGTGACAAGTTGAGAACAAACGTTCTCACTCAAGCCACAGTAGCTGACCGACAGTTCACGTAACCGTGTACACACTTTCACGGCTTCAATGAATCTCAGTTCATCATCCTCACTGCCCACAAGCAAATTGCTATTCAAGCACAACACTTCCAGCTGTGTGCATTGCTCCAACATATCACACAGTACAGACAACGGTGCAGCACCATCACTATACATGTACCTGACATTGACAGTGTGTGCATTCTTACACTGACCGAGTGCACGGCACACCGACACAAAACCACTCACACCAACACGGTTATCACCGACATTCACATCGACAAGGCTAGCAGACATAGCTGAAATCACGGAGGACAATGCCTGACCATCATGAATAGCAATCTGGCATAGCTTTAGTACACGTACACTGCTACTCCTCAGTAAGCCTGCTGATAAGCTCTGAAACGACTCATCGCCAATGCTACACCAGCGGAGGTCGACTTCCTCCAAATCACAACATGTATAGCCACACAGTAAAGAACTGAGAGCAACACATTCATGAGAAGAAAGAGAAACATCATGAAGATTAAGCTCTGATGCAAGCAAAGCACGAAAGAAAGGGTGCGTCCAGTTGCCGGACACACCGTGATACTCTGCATGCTCATGATATGCCACCACAAGATGAACAAACAACCTACGTATGGGCGAATCCCGATAAGCAGGAACAACATCAGCTAGACTTACAATGCGAGAAGGAGCAGCTTGGGGGTATGCATGACTCAGCAGCATAGCAGCGGGATGAAGGAGACTCTCGCACGGCCGCGCCAGCTCGGCATCCACCTGGGATAGCGCTTCCAACAGCACCGTGCCATTCGCAACACTGCCGCTCTCCATCCACACCGTCAGGAGAGTCTTTAGGAATAGAGCGTCTGTGGGCTCTCGGCTTATGGGCATGGAACGGCGCACACGTTGCCCACCATGGCCCTTGCCACGGTCATGCCGAGGAATGAGGAGAATGTCGGCGAGGACTGTCATGTGCTCAGCCTTCAGTACCTCGCAAAGGCGGTTGTGGACCTTTGCCATCTCCATCTGACCGGTCAGGACACTTGAGTCGGTGCGCATTTCCTCGGCTAGCTTAGCGGCGGTGGCAGCACGTCTAGCGGCAGTCTCGGCATGTTGGGAGGCCGCAGTAGTCTCATAGACAACCATTTCCTCATCTCCGCCAATGGCCCAAAGGTTAGCTTCTTTGATGGATTCATGGGCCTCGCGGCTAGGATCCAGTGGTATGGGATCCGCACACTGCACACGCCATAGCTCCTCCATGATGGTCAGCGACACGTCTTCCGGGCATAGAGCACTGAGGAACTTCCAGAACATTGCCATATGGCCATCGTACGCGCCCAGTCGCCGTACTAGTGCAATGGCGTGATGTCTTTCTTGCACCACACACTGTGCCATGAACCATGCCGCCAAGAACTTGAGACTCCTGCAGTGACAGATGACAGAAGCGGTATTGCCGAGCGTCTGTAGACATTGTGCCCTGGCATGTTTGCAGAAGACCCAAGTTCATTGCATCCTTGCTCAAGTCGGAGTTGGTGATGTCAGATGTGTTGAACACCATTCTTTTTACCAGCAGCATGCGATATGCAAAACGCCCCAGTTCCTGCAGCGACTGGACCACTTTGCTGGGTGCCAGTGAAATCAACTCACAAACTGCACCACCAGCACGCTCTACGACTCGGCGAAGTAACGATTCGTACAGGGATGCGCTGCATTTCCACACGGCTTTGCTGCTCTTGAAAAGCTCACATGTTAAGGCTGCAAATATGGGAGTTGCCATAAGACATGACACATCCGGATTGCTCTGCAGCTCTGCCAGCAGAATTTCAGCGTGTTGTCTACCGAGAACCTTCTCTGCGTACTTCCTCATGTTCTCCGGTGAGAAACCCAGTACTTGGATCTTCTGCTGATATTTGCCACACTGCAATAGTTGATATGCATCCTGGCATGGACGACATGTGACGATAACGTGTGTCTTCACCATGCCCTCGCGTTTCAGCAAGTCTCTCATGAACATACTGCAGCTGGCGAAATCACATTCATCCAAGCCGTCCATGACAAGACAAAGACGACTTGGAGAATCTTCGAAGTAGCTTGCAAGGTCCAATATCTCAGCCTGCGACAGGCCCTGACTCGTCAGTTTCACCGCCAACAGCTCAGCAAGACTAGTGGCAGCTCTCACATTTTTTTCACGAAGCTCCAGTCCCACTACTAGATCGAAATCCTCCTGCCATAGTTCGCCTCTGCTCCACAGGTATACAACCATGAGCAGAAACACGGTGGTCTTGCCACTACCAGCAGATCCATACGCCAGTACATTCCGCAACACCTTGCCACACAGCTTTCTAGACTCGGTTGCTGTAGCTGCTGTTGCTGCTGCTGCAGTTTTTCCTGTTGAACGGGCAACGGCGTCAACTCTCGAACCTGCGGCACGAAACAGGTTCTTCAATTCAACTCGATCTGCTTTGCTAAACTGCACTGCGTGTTCACGTCTCTCGGCGTACGTGGAGAAAGACAACTGCTCGTCAAATTCCGACTTCAATCCTTTCTCGGATACCAATGCTAAATTGACGAATATCTCTTGTAATGGAATTACTGCATCGCCAGCCAGTCCACCGCTGATTTGCAATCCAGACTCTTCTGCCAACTCACGTAGCTTTTCCTTCGCTTTCGCTAGTGAGCCAAGGATCGATGTTTGTTGTGTGGAGGGCCTAGCTCCTGATTTGTTCCCCATCTTTCAATGATTGATCATTCTCTCTCACAATCTCATAACACTTCTCTACCTCCCTGGCCCCTGGCACTACAGTACCCTAGCCTACAACTTACAAGTATTATTCGGCCCTGCGCTTGACCTCCTTCTGTCCTTGTACATGTATGATGTACTGGACCAGCCGTGCTTGAAGACCGGAAGCGATCGCCACAAGTACAAATCAATAAAGTAGCAAAATACCGGTGTTTTACTACTCCCTGGTAATCCTGAAAATAAAGATTATTTATATTATTATACATTGTACAATGATTTGTACAATGATTATAATAATAAGTATCTAATATTGACTGAGTACGAGGTCAATATAGGAAATAAAAGCCGAGTAAAAGACCGAGGCGAAGCCGAGGTCTTTTACGAGGTTTTTGTTTCCTATACTGACCAAGTACGAAGTCAATATTAGATTTTTCACGACAAACAGTCCGTATTTCAAATTCCAGAACGATAACCTCATGAATCCCGGTTTTATGATTGCACAACCGTTGCACCACCACCTACTCATGCAGTGACAATGCTGCACTAGGCACCGTTCAACTGCGCAACCCCTAAGCATGCAGTCAAATATAAGCAGTCAATATAGCCCTAAGGAGTGAAATATGCAGGAATATTTGACTGCATAGGTATGGCAAAAATCTATGTGAGTCAATACTAAGGGAGTGATAATAATAATTATCTTTATTAGGATAACCCAGACTAGAGGCGTGTCGCCTATCAAGGGGTTCACCGCTTTGAAGGGTAGACATCTACCTTGGGTGTACAATCATGTACATGTATTATGACGTATTATGACTTACTCAAATCTGTGGACAGCAACTGTTTCGCTCTGTTAGAGCTCCTCAGCACAGCTCAGCGGTCCTAGCCTAGGACGGAAGCGCAGCTCTTCGCAATGAAAATTAATACGTTTCCGTGAAGCAAAGCATGTTTATAAAGAGCTGCAAACCCCGCCAAGAGTGCTCGAAATGCTCCAAGAGCAGTGAGCGTTGCACAAGGGTCAAGCGAGCGGCAAGGGTTCGCGATAAGATAAGAGTGCTCAACCTAACGACATTGCTGACTGCTAGGGAGATTAATACTCAAATCTGTGGACAGCAACTGTTTCGCTCTGTTAGAGCTCCTCAGCACAGCTCAGAGGACCGAATTCGCGAAGCGCAGCTCTTCGCAATGAAAATTAATACGTTTCCGTGAAGCAAAGCAGTTTTATAAAGAGCTGCAAACCCCATCATATTATGACTTAGCGAGTTTCGAGGAGGTTCGTTTTTCTGAAGAGGCCAATAAGGCCACCTCTTCAGAAAAACTCCTCGAAAAGTCAAAGAGTAACAATTCGAACGCGCCCTCAATTGGCCTCTTCAGAAAAGCGAACCTTCTTGAAACTCCATGGCACAACCTCATCCGATGCCGCGATGTGAGAGGTGGATTAGTTCCGAAGAGTTTGGAACGTGGAGATGGTCGATCTGATCGGACGTCATCATCGCCATGACAATCCCACTGAAAAACTCTAAAATGATAGAAACCGTTCTAATGCTGTAATGGGACACTTCAACTAATCTCTTTTAAACATTTGTTCGAACAGTTGATGAAGACAATTCGACCCCCCCCCCCCCTAAATAGCACCCTCAAGGTGAGCTACAATTACAGTATTGATTTCAGTATTGTATACTGAACGAAACAGTGGTAGTGACCTTGTCGCAATTTTATACGGAAGTTGGTTGCTTCCCGCACTGGAGCTGGCGCTCCCCCCCCCCTTGACGTGGCTCTCCACTGTCACCCAGAGCACACTAGATGCATGTCAATGACCATTGCGACTGCCGCGTCAACGTGTAGCGCTTCAAGTTCAGAGCTGGAGGAGACGTGTCCAAGATAAATACTAGTACTCGCAGTGCCCATGCAGTGCCCATGCAGTGCCCATGCAGTGCCCATGCAGTGCCCATGCAGTGCCCATGCAGTGCCCATGCAGTGCCCATGCAGTGCCCATGCAGTGCCCATGCAGTGCCCATGCAGTGCCCATGCAGTGCCCATGCAGTGCCCATGCAGTGCCCATGCAGTGTTCCCTGACAACACAAACAACCTGCACACTCTACTTCGTACATCTACTGTGACTCCAGACTCCTGCTAGCAGACCCGCCGGTGTCTCAAAGATAAGTTATAACATAAATAGATGGAGGAAGTCCGCAGCGCTCAGTCACAGAGTAGTAGCACTGTCAATGCAAGGGCGTCGGACATGCTACAGTCACTACGGTAATATTATACCCAAGCCACTTTTATTCCAGGAAACCGGCCAATTAATAAAAAATGTAATGCTTTTGGCTCTAAATTGTCAGGGAGGGCGCTATTGGGGGTCATTCAGATAGATGACCTTGCCACCCTAAGATACCTTCCAACCTCCCTGTAGCAGCTCAACAGTTTCTTTTCTCTGTCCACCAACACTAGAACACATGATTGGAAGTACTGCCTACTGGTCCACGCGGCATGGTTGTTAGACAGCCACAGATGGATCTGAAGGTATGGGTCGAACTGCACGGGTGCAACTAGAAAATGTACGTGCCGTTCGTGATGGGTAGTGGTGTTCATCTCCGAGACATCGGCACTGGTGCCAAGCTTTCCATTGGCATCCATCCTGCTGTTGCTGTCCCCGGTGCCACTGTTGGCCGCTCGTGCTGCTGCTCCTCTGGCTGCTCTCACTGGTCCACTGGCTGCTGGTTCTGCTCCTCTTGTTTTTGTTCCTCAGGTTTCTGCTCCTCGGTTTTCTGTTCCTCTGACTGCTGCTGCTGTTTCCCTGGCTGCTGCCGCTCCTCTGGTTGCTCCTGCCGATCATCTGGTTGCTGAGGCCCTTGCTCTGGTTGTTGTTGCTGCTGCTGCTGCTGCTTCTCTGGCTGCTCCTGCCGTTCCTCCTGTCGTTGCTGCTGCTGCTGCTTTGGGTTACATTGTTGGCACTGGCTATGACGTACAGACTGCTGCCTCTGTAGAGCCCTGGCCACTCGCTTACACAGCACTGCCAGAGTCGGCGGCCGCGCAAAGCACTTGCCGAGCAGCATGAGCACCTCCCGACCGCCGAGGCAGCTGTCAGCCATGGCCAAGTCGACGGGAGACACCGCACAAAAATCTCCCCCGTGGCCGTCGCCGTTGCACAGGCTTGGGCAGCCAGGGGAACGTACAGCGTACCCAGTACTACCGCGGTGATGCTGGGCCAGGCACGGGTCCCGCGCCGCACGGCAGCTCGCGTTGGTGTATCGACTTGCTCCAGCTTCCAGAAGCAGCTGCACGACGGCCGTCCTCGCCGTGGCCAAATCCTCGCACTCGTCGGCATCGAGCCAGCGAAGAGACTCGGCACTGGTGACACAATGAGCCGCCGCACGCCTGCTGTACGACGCGAACGTGTTGACGAGCAGGTCGTGGGCCGGAGAAAGTGCGCAGTGCAGGGGCGACGCTTGGTGAATGTCCAGCGCGTTTGGGTCCGCGCCAGCGTCGAGCAGCGCCGCGACGCACTCCACGTTCAGCTGCTCGGCGGCGAAGTGAAGCGCCGTGCGTCCCGCATCGCACGTGCTCCCGTGGCAACGCGTTCGAGCGTCGACATGGCAGCCCGTGGCCGTCGTCAGCAGGCAGTGTACGGCGACCACGTCGCCGCGATCCACGGCGCAGTGCAGCGGAGTCAGGCCGGCGGTCAGGCGCCACTTAAGACACTGAGAGCGCCTGCCCAACGCACTGCACCAGCGACGTCGTGAGCCGCTGGCCGCGTCTGGATCCGCACCGCCGGCCAGGAGCTCCTTGAGCGTGCTCAGTTGCCGCTCGGACGCCTGCGATGGGCCCACGAGGTCTTCGGCACGCCAGTCCAGGCAGCAATGCAGCGGTGTGGACCCGTCGCCAGCTCTGCTATTCAACAAATCATCATACGTGAGGCTGTGGACACACGCGTCGGAACTCCACGCCGGGGGTGGGCGTTGCCGCAATATCCATCGCACCAGCTGGACATGCCCAGACCTAGCGGCAAAGTGCAACGACGTCTGCCCACCGTGCTCAATGACAAGACCCTGTGGTGTTTGGTCACCAGCGCTTGCATTCTCACTGCTTGTCCTTCGCAAGTCACGCCCCGTGGCAACATTGCAGCTAGGGGTACTTTCCGTAGCAGTTCCTGTGCTGTTGACGTAACCACCGCAGCTAATACTATGCCTGCGATCTTTCTGGCTGCCGCTCGCCGTCATGCTCACGGAGTCACGACACATGTGTTTGGTGTTGTAATGCGTAAGGGCCGTTGTCGTCACTGCGGAGCGCGCGCGCAAGTCAGCGCCCAGCTGCACAAGCACTTGCGCTACCTCCGTCTGGCCGGATTGACAGGCGACGTGCAGAAGGGTTTCCCCCTTTTCGTCCGCAATGGCATCGACGTGCAGCTCGGCGTCGATCGGAGCGCGCCTGACGTTGAAAACGCCGCTCAACAACTTCCGCAACGGAGGTGATGACACTGTCGACAGGGTCGTCGGCGAAGGGCTGCGAGCGTCCTGGTCGGCATAGCTCGACGCGGCCAGGCTGAGTGCCAACAGCAGGTCGCTGCCCTCGCCCGTTCTGGCCAAGGCGAACAGCTCGGCTTTGCTGGGCAGTCGCTTGCCGTTGCTCAAGTGCGCCCCTGGCCGGGGATTTGCAGTTGTCGGGGACAGCTCCTGCAGCACCCTGCGTAAGCCCGACAGTGGCCGCAAGGGTCGCAGGCACTGACCATCAGCCATGTCCTTCCCCCGCACGACTCCCGAAAAGTTAAAGGCTAAAGTACAGATATCACCCACACCCACTCCCACTGGCCCAAAGGCACAGGCGGAAGAGAACGAAGAAGCAAGGAATAAAAGTGACCAGTCAGTCCACACTGACGTGCTGTGACTGTGAGTGTCACGATGACAGTCTACGCGTAGGTCTACGCGCGTGCATACCATGCAAACGTCATAGCGAAGCACACAGAATCGCGCAGAGAGCCCGTATTTTATGGCCCAGAAAGACGTGCAAAGGCCCTTCACAGTCCTGACTCCTGTGCAGTGCATGCAGTCTGTACTGCACTGAAGACTAGTGAATTCATGAAGTGTAGTCACGAGTCACGACGCAGTAAAAGCATGCAGATGTCGCGATGATATCAAACAAGCGACAGGCTAGACAGTGCACACTGCCACACTCGCACTCGAGTCGTAGTCGTACTCATGTCAGAATGATTGTTGTGTTTGGTACATGTATAAGACGTATACAACACCGGTAGTTCCAAAATGGTACAAGTCACCATGACAAGATGATCTACAACATGACAGAATCACATTGACTGTACATTATTATGTAAGTTGTAATATGCCAAGTAGTCTTGGATTCAAGTAAGTAACTTATTACTAGTAGTAACTAGTCACTTTTCATTACTCCTCGCCTATTTCATACTTTGATAAAGGAGATCTACCACATCATGCACAGGAGATTATGTGAAGCACTGACGTGACTGAAACCGTGTGACTGGGATTTCCATGTGTGCCAGCAGTTTCCGAAAAGCACTAAGTCTATGGAGGCTTCCGGGTACAGTCGTCCCTCTCTAATCCGGCACTTTATAATCCAGCACCCTCGATAAACCAGCACAATTTTCAGTAGCCAAAATGTCCTCTTCATGCACATTGCAGCAGTAAATCAGATTTGTTAATCCAGCACCCTCCCTAATCCAGCAGATTTTCGTGGCACAAATGGTGCCGGATTATAGAGGGACCACTGTACCGGGTAGATCTACACACAGCCATGTACATGTGCCCCGGGTAATAGTGTTCAGGGACACTGACGAGTAACGTGAAGGTTATTGTGTATTTGAGATGCATGACGACTAGTGCTAGTGGTGGCCGTAGAGCACCGATATGTATTTGCATGTAGTTGTGATTGTTTTCAAAGTCTTGAGCCAAGTATTACAGTTGTGGCGGTTTTGACAGGTAAAAAAGTACACTTTTGTGCCCTGGGAAAGTAAGGAATGTCTCTCTCAGTCTCATCATTCAGGTACATGATTGTAGTTATGTAATACATGTACATGTACTACTTATAGTAGTACATGGTGGAGGCTGTTGCACAACAGTGAGTAGATCTACAGTCCTACAAATTACAGTACAATGTACATGTACGAGTATGTACAGTATGTACTAGTACAGTTGCGCTCACTGAAATCCGACCCATAGTGTAAAGCTGGCGCCCTGGACCAGTTCGGATTACATCATTGTATGTGTACATGTGTATGTCCAGCCGCATTCATTCCATTTCCAGGGCGACAAGGGCCGAGGAAGTTGAGGGCGCCAGCCTTGCACGTAGGGTCGGATTTCAGTGAGCGCAACTGTACATGCAGTATGCGCCTTTCTTTGAGGTTTGGAGATCGCAACATAGCAACACAGTGGACGACGTCGTTACGTATCACTGCTTGCTTCCCTAGATCCAAGATGCAGGCGCCCGGCAGCTAGCTGTGCGTGCACAGCTTTTCCGCCGCTAGCCACGTGTGCCAGTGGCTCTGGCCCGACACATGCCATGGGTCATTCTGTGTCTTTGGTGGTGTATATAATTGCATTCTTAGTTTGTTGAGCAACGGTGAGCAGTTCAATGGAACAACAAGTGCAATGTAACCACTGAGCACTGTGAGGATTGACATCAGGACGTTAGACATCCGTGTATGGATCCTAGCCCCCGCTACTAGTACTCAAACTTAGTAGTTTAACTCAAAGCTCTATTTGGGAAAGCCACAAACTCAAATTGTGATACAGAAATGCCAAAATCAAGCGAAATAAAACAAACATTTGCTAACCCGGCTAGGGATCCTCCCGGTGCTGGAGTATGAGCAACTGCATGTATATTAAGCTTGTCGACTCAACACAATGTCGAGGCGACCGCTCTGATAGTGATAGGTATGCTATGCACTCTTTCCCAAACACATGAAATTTCTTTGAGGCGGGGAGATCCCCTCAACGCCCAGCTACATAATTAATATAGGCCTTCATCGTCTGGGTAATCCAGGGTAATGTCATGTACATAGCAGACTCAGCGTAGGACGTTCAGGTTGGTTGTATTTTGTAACTCTGAGTTTCATGCCGCTAGGCAATCATCAGACAACCGATACTTGGATCTACCCAACAGTATGCTTATGTCTGAAGTTATGAACACATACATGTACATGTAGGGCCTCAAGCATAAACAAATCTGGTGTAATGTATGGCCATATGGGGAGAAAGGTGGCGCGGGCCAAGGCGCGACGGTAGAAGTGCCAGGAGGGTGGCGGGCAACAGGCAGGTGTGAGCATGAAAGCGCGGAAAGAGGCGATGGGGAGGCAGTGTACAGCCGAAGGGGGATGTTCCAAGAGGATGGCGGGCAATGGGCCAGTGAGATCGCTAGGGGGTCTTTGCGTGACGGGCAGGCGTGAGCAGAGTGGCTGGCATAGCCAACAACAGGCCAGGGGATTGTGTTATTAATAATAATAGATGATATGCCAAATAAGCGCTCGAAAAGTTGAGAGGGCATGCGATTGATGCGCCCAGGCTTAGCTTGTCAAGTGCACGGGATGTGCAAAGACTAAGTACACGGATTTTAGGCTTGTTGCGCGCTTACGCGATCAGGTGCTGCACGTGCATGAATGGAATGCATGCAGTTCCACCGTTACTAGTTTTAGCACTTCCTTCGGCGTTGAAACTAAAGCTGTAAATCTGGATAGAAAAAAACAGTTTTGCTTGCTTTTAATATAGCGGCTGGAGTGATTTTTCGCTGTCTTGTTTTCGGATACCGACCAACCACGACCATTGCTGTGTTCCAGGATGTACTGGTGACCGGCGTTACTCCCCAGCCCCAGCAAATGGTATTCGTCTTTTCCATCATCCTGAACTGTGAAGGAAATGGACTGTTGCTATTCGACGGGAGGAAAGGGAAGGAGAGCAAAAGAAAGTGACACTACAGCGGTGTGCTCTGACCATTTCTTGCCAGAAGATTATGTAGATCTACAAGGGGAGAAAATCGCCAGAGCAAGACTGGTAAAACATTTTGTATCTGGAGTTGTCAATCTGGTCCGCCAAGACAACAGCGGCTGATGCTAACCGGCGTCGCTCTACCTCGTGTCGTGAGCTACTGCACGGGAGCAGCCTGAAGACATACGACTCATACCTAGTGATATCCCAGGCATACTGTCCCTATGCTGGAGGAAGCATTCGACAGTATTCAATGCAATCTGGGTGACTGCAAGAATAAAGTAGCAAAATTGAGCGAAATGACTAACAGTCGCATGTTTGGAGTTCTGCGGGTATCCCGATTCAAAGACAAGGCATCATATCAGTAACCTTGGACAACACAGTCATGCGACATATCAAGCGGAGTCTCAAGATAACATTTGGCTACCCAGCAGCCACCATTTGTCACCGCCACAAAATATTCCCGTCGCCATCCGTTAAAACTTTGTAGTAATTATTGTTTGCCATGCCATAGCGCCCCAGCCCCCTCTTTGCAGAGTTTCCTTTGTTTTTAGGTCAAAATATTCACCCTACGCTGGCTACGGAAGCCTTGACCAGGCCTGCTGAGGGGATAGTACACCCTCGCTTTAGCTCTACCTAATGCTTCTTCACGACATGGCTTCTCTTTGCAAAACATACAGGTACCTGGTCTCTGATAGCTGTGATAGCTGGAGTTTTCCTTCCATCGGGGTGCTGCTAGGCAGCCTCTTTCGTCATGCCGCAGAGGCTGCGTAGAAGGCTGTTATGTTATAACAACCTTCTACGTAACCTCTTTGCAATACGCCATTTCCCACTTACCTCGAGCACCCTGTAAAAAGGCGCATTGTCTGCAGGGATGGCCCTAGTAAAAAGATAAATACAACAAAAAAAGAACAGCTCTATTTGTGCTGGCACTGACGAATAGCGGAAGCACATGAGAAACTGGTTGCCTGGAGCAATGACGGAAGAAACGCTGATGTGATCTCACTCGGGTGAGGGATGAGGTAAAACCGCGAAGCAGTCAGGGTCTTGCTTCTCAGCCTATGCCATAGGCCGCTGCCAATCTGCTGTTGGGTATGGCGCTCTATTGCTATTACCTCTGTTAGAAGCACCTTCTCTGTGATGTGGGATAGGGAAGGCGGGATTTCCCAGTACAAAGGCAAATCAATGTTGCCAGTGTCAGTATGCCCCAGTGGTTCATAAGGGTTCTCGCAACTACGTTCCTTGGCTCTTGTGCCCCATTGCTGTTGTTGCTAGGTTGCATATGCCAGGTATTGACCTTTCATCTCACAATAGTTGATGGTCAGCAGCAATGCAACAATGTGGTGGAAGGAGCATGCAATGCTGTAGTGCAAGTGCAATATGCAGACATCACTTCGAGTACATGCTTTTCTAGTTTTAGCACTGTAGCACACACTTAGCTCTCCTTCTTTTGAGATGCCCAACACTTAGCCTTGACAAAGTATCTCTGCGGTCCAGAATTCTTTGGCTCTGGGAAGCAAAACTCAACACTTTAAAGGGGAAGTTAAGGCAAAAATTAAAATTTCACCAGTTGTAGTCTTCGGGGTGCTGAGTCGAATGGTCTTGGTCCGAGAAAGCTGAGACGCTCCCTTCCTACTTGAATCCCAATCGAACTCGCGCACTTCCACCGAAACTGGGTGACTGCGCCCTACTAGATGGGGATTTGTATGCAAAATGTCACTAAAAGCGCCATTTCGTTCTTATAAAAGCACGGATGACCACGATTGGCCCATATGTTGTAGTCTTTTGGACGCTGAGTCGACTGGTTTTGGTCCGAAAAGGCTGCGATGCAGCGTTCGCCCCTAATTCCCAATCGAACATGGTTGAACAAGTGGTCACGTGCTCCTGCGTACACCAGTCACCTGGTCACCGTGCCTGCAGGGTACAACTTACTAGCCTGTTTTGACCTTTTTTGGGTGCAGTCCTGTCACTCGAGTTGAACCTTGGTGTGAAAGTTGTCGCCTGCTGGCGTGGTGACCAGGTGATTTTGGCACCCAGGAGCACGTGACCACTTCTTCAACCATGTTCGATTGGGAATTAGGGGCGAACGCTGCATCGCAGCCTTTTCGGACCAAAACCAGTCGAACCAGCGTCCAAAAGACTACAACATATGGGCCAATCGCGGTCATCCGTGCTTTTACAAGAACGAAATGGCGCTTTTAGTGACATTTTGCATACAAATCCCCATCTCGTAGGGCGCAGTCACCCAGTTTCGGTGGAAGTGCGCGCGTTCGATTGGGATTCAAGTAGGAAGGGAGCGTCTCAGCTTTCTCGGACCAAGACCATTCGACTCAGCACCCCGAAGACTACAACTGGTGAAATTTTGATTTTTGCCTTAACTTCCCCTTTAAACGAATGGCGAGAAGAAGGACTCATCCCCGAATGGTTTCTGTGTCCGACGTTAGGTACCTTTCTCGATTCTGAAGATGCTGGAGTGCAGCACTAGCAGAAACACCACTTAGCAAATCCTCCGAGCGATGGCTCCAGGCCTCGGTGGGAAATTCTGCGTCTGTTTGTTGAGCAGCATCTATGATTTGATGGATTCAGCGGAGAAGCAGCTTCTTCTGTTCCCGATGCAGATGGTGTCAAGGTATTCGCTGCTGTAGCGACCAGTGAAGGAGGAACGGATTTTCATCGCCCTTTCGCTGCTCGGAGCCGACTGCCATCATTGTCCCCCGTCCTAAGCTCTGGGGCGTTGGGAATAAAATAAAATCTTTCGGTCTTACCTCTGCAACAAATCATCTCGCTTTCCATCTACCGGTATCTCTCCCTCACGTACATGTACGTCTTCAGCTGAGCAAAAGTCCATCTAGCAATCGTGTCGCCGACAGGTGGGTTCGCAAAACGAGAAGCTATGGCTGGTGTACTATTTCTTGCTGCCATATCCGGGTATCAAAATGAAAAATTGAAAGCAAACTATGCACAAAGGTGTCAGAGTTCCTTTTCTTCATCCGAAAATTTTCTCCGACGGAATGCTAAAATGCAGTAACAGTGGAACTGCATGCATTCCATTCATGCACGTGCAGCACCTGATCGCGTAAGCGCGCAACAAGCCTAAAATCCGTGTACTTTGCACATCCCGTGCACTTGACAAGCTAAGCCTGGGCGCATCAATCGCATGCCCTCTCAACTTTTCGAGCGCTTATTTGGCATATCATCTATTGATATTGGGGTGCTCAGGCAAATGTACATGATTGTAAAAAAAACCAAAAATACAACTACGCCAGGCTAAATGTACCATGAAAAGGGGTTATGAACTCTTGGTGCCACCTCTCTCCAAGGACCACTACAACTTGGACCAACACATGCAAGGGACGTTCTTACAAGACAAATGGCAAGTCCTGGATAGGAACAATAAGACCACCTGAACATAGGGACCACATGTTGAAGGCCCCGTGAGTTCCAGCGCACGGGGACATCGGAACCGGTGCAGCTAATTGTATCCTGCGATCATTGATGGCTTGAAGCAATGATAATAACGTTAGGGGCCGTCCGGGGTAACCAATTGTTTTTACAAAACGAAAGGTTTTAGTATTTTTCAGCCCCCACCCACCCACCTTTTCTGCAGGTAAAACGAATTCCAATAAAATGTTGATGTCAATTTTCCACACCCAGAAGTAACTGGGCATTTCCAACTGCATTCAATAATTATTTTCAAAACGAAACTCCATCAAACCCACCCACCCCCAAACGAAAAGGTTTCGTTTTGAGAATATTGTTGGTAACCTTGCCCTTCATTATGGGCTGTTTGGGCCAAATTAAAAATATTTTCCTAACAATTTCGCAGGGGATGGCCCAAGGACCCTTTTCATAGCCACACCAATGTGGAATACCTTCCGACGCCACTGGCCCTATGATGGGTTTCACCAAGAGTACATAACCCCATTATGTACTCTAGGTTTCACCAAGAGTACGTAACCCCATTTGGTTTCACAGACAATCTGTCTTGCAATGACCATAATAGAACGGTTCACATGCAGCTTGGGCATGTGACTGCATTGGTGCAGAAATGTTAGACTTGGTAAGTTAGTACATGGACATTGTAAACGGTACATGCATTGAACAGTTCGTCAGGAAGCCCTACACATACGGTATGTGCAGGGCTTGGTTCTGACCAGAGAAATCCACCTTCACGAATAAACCAGCACCGCGTTCGAGTGCACAGAACCGTGTACGTACCTCGTTGTGCTAGGGCTGCGTAGCGTCCAGCGCTATTATAATTATTCATAAGGTTGGATTTCTCTGGCCACAAGTTGTACTTTTGAAGTACATGGCAACTGGACAGTGGAATCAACATGGCTGACACCATGTGGCCGACCCATAGATTATCTTCTCTATTAATTTTATTTTTAATAGACAACATCTCCAGCTCCTGGCACATCGAAAGACAGCCAATTAATCAGTTGACATGAAGGGTGAGAGCCAGCCATGGTAGGATGCTGCAGGCGTGGAGTGGAGTTGGCAGGAACCAGGGAGCCGTGCTCACACATACAACAGACACATCGGCAACAACAACATGTTCAACACCAGCAGAACGAGCAACAAGTTGTGCAGGGCTGACAATATTATACATGTACTTCGAAGTAAATTTACCCAATGCTGTAGACAGCAAGCTGTTTCGGCCATAAAGAACTCATCAGTACAGCTACGAACTGTAAATTTACAAAACAAATCGGTTGATCCGCGACCTGCAGTGAGTGCTCAATGCCAAAATAACAGAGCTTAGAACACAGCAGACACAGTGGAGGACGTTCCATGTGATTCACATAAATTTCAGGAACACCCGGCTTTGGGCTAATAATCAACTCTTCCCTGCTTTGAATGTTGCGGTCGCCGATCGATTGTCATCTTCCCAATTCCATAAGCTGGTCCGGACAATATGGCACGAGTTGTGGAAATCCGGTACCCTGGAAATCATCACACACAAAAAAGAACCAAGACAAGAACGACATGAAACGCTGAAGGCTGCAGCAGTAGCATGCCATAGTGATACTGGATGGTGCATTGTACTCAAGTAGCTGTCAGAAAAGGATCAGGCGCACAAGCAAAGAGAAAGAGAAAGCGTGCAGGTGCTCAATCAATTCGGAGTGGATGTGTGTCTGGCGCAGGGCTGTCAGGTTTCTCCCTCACACTCACTCTCTCTCTCTCTCGCTCTCTCTCTCTCTCTCTCGCTCTCTCTCTCTCTCTCTCGCTCTCTCTCTCTCTCTCTCTCTCTCTCTCTCTCTCTCTCTCTCTCTCTCTCTCTCTCTCTCTCTCTCTCTCTCTCCCCCTCTCTTTCTCTTTCTCTCTCTCTCTCTCTCTTGTCGTCACCATGTAGTCTTTTGTTTCATCTCTCGTCTACCCCAACAGATACCGTCCTTTCATCTACCTGTTCCTTGTCTCGTGTGATGGAATTATGGCAGTGGTTGAGTTTCAACAGATGCTCAAAGGACTAGTTTTTGATTTGGGTACGAGCCACCTTAAGCTGAAGGCAGATGCATTGACAATGTTCAAGCAAGTGCACGAGTTGGCAGAATCCAGTTTTCATGCTCTACTGGCTAAAGAGTGCAGGCCTGCACTACCAATCCAGGAGGAAAACCTGCTTGCAGATGAAAGCAGGTCCACATTATCAACAACACTGAGGAAAAGCAAAGTTGGCGGCGATTATCGGCACGTTCGTCAAAAGCAAACAGAAACAGCCTCTTTAGAGATTCAACTTGGCCCCAAGAAAGTCATCGCAGACCCTACGAGCTAGTGTCAAGCCAGGGAGCAATGCTGCAAGCAAGGCAGTAAGTCCCGAATCAGCTGCTAGCATCATCACATTTGGTACGGTGAAGCAACTGAAAGATGCAATGCGCAGTAAAGGATTGCCTAGCTGTTGGAGGAACAAAAGCCGTGGAACACTCTGCTAGCCAGTGTACGTTCCTGCAAAGCTGTGGCCGATTTCGCAGCAGCCGTGTACCCGTACACTCTCAGGCCATAAACGTTTTTTAAAGAAGAGAAACAGTGATATGCACACACACACGGACAGTATGTGTAGGCATTTTAACAAACGGTCTTTTCCTGTTAGCTCTGTTTGTCCAGTACATGAGATACAACGTCTTTCTTGTTGTTTTTCCTTCTACATGTAGCTGCTTGCAGCATGATAAACGACAGTACCATGGCCTTTTCAGATCTTCATTATACTGTACCTATTTGTAGTACCTCCCGGGATCAGTACTTCCACTTGAAATAATATTCACCAAAATGCCTCATTCTTAGCATTCTTTTATTCGATTCCATGTAATTGGGCTTATTGCCCATTTGGTTTTGCGAATTCAAATAAAAAACAACAACAACAAGCAGACCTGATCAGCAGACTTTCCTCCCACCTAACCTCCTTGGGAAATGAGAACGGTGAACCAAGTGGAAAGTAATCATCGCAACCAGATAGATTAGCTGTCCCTCGTGTTCGCAGCTTTCTGTTCATTCGTTCTAACCTCTCTGTTGTCCGTTGGCTTTTCATACTTCTATGCAGTATTGATTTAGGAAAGGGTTTGCTCCCTGACACAGCTTGCGTTCCCCCCCCCCCCCTCACTTGACTTGACAGTGGACTGACTCACGACTGCCATCCTGAGCACACAAGAAGTCCCTCGAGCCTTCAACTCGGCAAACCTGCAAGAAAGCACCACTCCCTGAGCTCAATACACCGTGTTTCAGGTAATTCACCCCTCGTCAGTTGAGCTTGAGTACCACTATTTCCGAGTATTTCGTAGAATTTATTTCCACTGAATACCGATATCTCCTCGCTTCGACACCTGCAAACTAACGTGTTACTTATGAATAGGGATTCGAACAGATGTTAACTCTACTCAGTATGCTGTCTGGCAGTGTGAGGAGAATGCGTGCTGCACAACCTTTGAGCGAACACTGTAGCATTAGGTGGCACATATTTTTCCGCTCCACTTCTCCGCACTCCGGGTCCGGCTCAGGCCAATCATTTGCCGCACACGCCAAATCAAACTCAAAGAGGAATTATCCCATGTCCTCATCCGGGGTCCCTGAAAATGTCGGTGGTTTAATCAGTGACGCGGCCATGGTGGGTGGGTGTGGAGATGTGTGTAGAGAGGGAGCTACTGAGGTACTAGTAATGGTAAAGTGCTATCCTGTACCGTACAGACAAAGTAGGGGATGACTTACCGGGCGCAACAGGGAGACAACGCTCTGCAACCAGTGTCTACCCGAAGCGAAGTCTTGAGACAGCAATCTGCGTCAATCTCAGGTCGTCGTGTTGTTCAGAACCGCTGTTGGGCGCCAAATGTTAATTCCGGTCTTTAGCCAGTCGATAGAGCGAGAGGGTACAGTGATGGGTAATGGTTCTAATACGGAATTGCCCACTTATTCAGAAACGGAGAGAGAGAGAGAGAGAGAGAGAGAGAGAGAGAGAGAGAGAGAGAGAGAGAGAGAGAGAGAGAGAGAGAGTTTCAGGTAATAGTTGGAATCTAGCAAGCAACTAAGATGTAGGGAATTGATCTCTGGTGATCTGTAGGAAACTTATCCGTCGGAAACTAAGAATGCAGCAGCTTTTATAGGGTGAGAATTGTCAGTAAGCTAGCCTGTGGTCCGGGGATACCTGGAGCAGAGAGAAGTACGAAGAGAGGGCAACCTAGGTTCATGTGCGGGCAGAAGAAAGCAGGAGAACAACAGGACAAGAAACAGTGTAGGGGGAAGAATGGACCTAAGTGGCGAGCAACTGGTGGGGCAACAGGAATGACCTCTAAAACTGTGTAACGCAAGGAATCTTACTTGTAAGGCTCGTCAATGGAGCGGGAAGGATGTCGTGAAACACCGCTATTCAAAGAAGAGAAGCTGAGTAGAGCGAGGGAATCTTATACTTGGTGATTAACATGGCCGGGGATGCGGAATGGCGTATGAAGTAGGACTACGGTCTAGTACAGGAATCAAAGTAATGCAGAGTACAGTAGGAATGGGTGTTATCGGTCATGCCGTGCCGGCCATGAAGTGGTGGCATGGGAGAAGCACTAACATGTAGATAGAATGTACCTGTAAGCTAACTACTGGTAGAGATGTGACTGTGTAACAAGTCAAGTACATGTGCATGTCATATAATCTATGCATTCCTATCTAACACAGATACACAAGTTTTTTCCTGTTATCTTCACTGGCTCAACATGTTTGCATTGTAAATTAACCAATGCTAAGTGCAAAAGGAGGCCTTCCTTTTACACTGTCTATATTCTCACGTTCCATTCGTTTTGGTACACTTTAAAAGCCTTTCAAGAAAACCAATAAATTATAGCATTCATCTAATGGACACTCAAATTTTCTACTTTTGCCTTTCACAGCCTTTTGTTAAAAGTTAACGTCCATAAACCCTACTCTACCCTATCAGCCCCGTATATGTAAAGCCTAAACGAAATTTTAAACACCCACTTTGCTAATTTTTCTACTGCAAAATAATCGCAGTGAAGAGACAATTTTTGGAGTTCAGAGTTGAGAAGTGAAGTTTCCTAAATGCAAATGAAATATGTTAGCCCTCTCAGTGCCACGGGCGACTTTAGTCGCCCAGAATGAGTATGTGTGTACAAATAAATTCGTATCTCCACTTCTACACACAGGAGAGTGACAAACGACCACTCTACGTCTTCAGGAAGACCTTGGCTATTGACTCATCACATCGTTTTGTGTCCGTGAGGATAGATATTGCCAGGGCGAAGGCTGAAGCACGCGCGCTCGAACAAACAATTGTCGCACGTAGAAAACATGATGTATGCGCATCGCGGGTTTCTCTATTTCTTTCGTGGAAACCCATGCGTATTGGGTTTCAAAACATCGAGATTTTCAGTGGCTTTCAGGCCAACTTTGTCCGAATTTCGTGTGTTGAAAGTTGACTGCACTGCAATCGATCGCGCGTGCGTGAGAAAGTGCAGATGCTACAAAAATGCAGAAAACGGACTTCGCTCAGTCGCCCTCGCGAGGAAGACTATTTTCGCTGCATTTTCTCTTCACAGCTGTCTGCCTGGCCATGATATCTTTCCAGAGAGCCATCGTTTGTAAAGATCCGTGGATATACAGCTGAGCTATGAAAAATTTGAGTTCGGCTCAACTCAGAAAAAATTGAATTTTTCTGACCCCCTTGGCACTGAAAGGGTTCGTAAGTAAGTAGGCGGAACTAGCCCGTGAATTCGGGAGTTTGCACTCCACTTACGGAAAGTTGTCTACGCAGAGTACATAAATGTACGTAAATGGAGCTCTACTCACGGAGGTGCTCCGTAAGCGGATCGGGGGGTGTAAATGACTCTCTTTCTACATACACATGTACATGCAGCCACCGGCGGATTATGCCGGCAGAAAAATTGGCAGAATTCGGTACTTTTTCTGGTAAGTTTCATGCATGTTTGGTATGTGGATAAAGAAATGGAGCAGAATTCGAGGAATTGCCCGCCATAAGGTTTGTATGGTTCTGCCAATTTCACTGCTTTTCGAGCAGAATCTGCCACCTTTTCGAGCAGAATCCGCCGGTCCCTAACACGCTGTCATATTGGGAGTTGCCAAGAGCAGCTACGGGATTGGAAAACTCCGTATGGTGGAATACGGATCCACATGCAGTGTACGTATGACTTTCCGTAGATCGGTTATCGTATTTCACTTGGCTGCCCATTGAAATAATTCATAACACCATCAAAAATTCAAAATTATAAAAAGTTTTTTAATTTTTTCAATGTTAACTGGTTTGAGGGAAAGAGACAATTTTTCAATGTTCTTTATTTTCATCGTACGATCGCATTGATTGTCCGCAATCAAACGTTTTGTGTTAAAAAAAAATTAACCGAATATGATTCGCACCTTTTGGGCTAAACTTCAAGGGCGAAGAAGAGTGTGCGGCATACAATCGAGTGTGATTTCCTACTTATGTGAAAGTATTGAAACAATAATTATGGTGGTAAAGACACACCCGGCAATATGGCGGTAAAAACACGCCTGCCCACACACGCTCTCTAAGCTGCAAAGTTCTAGCGCAGAGCTCTCCTTCTCACCACCACCACCATCAGTTCGCGCCTGGCGCCTAGTCGATGCATGGTTGGCGGTATCCGACATAGCAGGCTGGTACATCAAGTAGCGCATGGCACACAAATATGTGAACGTATTGAAACAATATGGCTTCCACCTGAAGATGGGCGTGTGACTTTATAATCGGGGAAATGCAATACCGTAGTGACGCACATAAAGGCACATACATGCGCTTATGACTCGAGTGAGTTTTTGCATTTTTTCCTGTTTTTTTGCGGGGCATTTTGTCTCACACATACATGTAGGCGCATGCGTTCGAGTTGCTAGTGTACCGGTATCTTGCACAATTATGCACATAGTGCAATACCGCAATGCACATTGAACTATGTGAACACGGTGCTTTTGTGGTGTCTGTGTGTCGCGGGATGGATTGTATTTAGCTTCACTTATAAGCCCATGCGCTTATTTGTGAGGGTGCGCTTATGCCCGGGTATAGGCACATGTGCTTATATGCACTACGGTACGTTTGTTACTAACGTAATTACGTTTTGCGGAATCTCTCCAATATTATAATATCAGTGTTCATCAAAACACACACTCAAACCACTTACTGTTTCTGGTCAGTGAATCCTTATTAGAAGTTAGTTGTCACCTTCCTTGAATGATGAGGCTTGAGAGGCGTGTGAGCTGCACTGCACTGCCCGCACCCAGGTTCAACCCATAACATGAGTCTGATTTGGCCAAAGGCCATTATATCAGGCATACGCCTTGCATGTCATCAGTGTCATGCTGCTATTGCAAGTTTGCAACCACCAATGCTCAGGGCCTCCGGAGTCCAAACTACCCTTCAAGGACGTCTTGATTGATGGCTTTCGGTACGTAGAGGTGGCTCAAAGTACATACTATGGAGCTCACATCTGCAAGCCTTGAGCAGCAACAGTCACATCCTCGCGCAACTGAAAGACTTGAAACCGCCAGAAGATCCTTGCGGTATTATTCATTTTCCAATCTTTCGCCATCATGAAAGAAGAAGTTTTGAACACAACAAGCCCGCTTCCATCTCACGACAACAACATGTACAGCGCTCGACGCTTGTGCGGCGTGCCTGCCGCGCCGCGGGCTCCCTGGTGACGTCAGCCTTCCAGACGTGCAGTGTTTCTGTGTTTTTTTTTCAACAACGATCAACGACTCGACTCAGCATCGATCAGCTCACAGTCAAGACTCAGGACTGGAGTCTTTTCACAATGACTGTATCAGTGTTTTGACGTTGAAAGTGTTGAAGGTTTTGAGAAAAGACAAGGAAGTCAAAGAGTTTTCTTGGCAAAGATCTGTCCCTCCAATCTGCCCTGGTCCTGGCTCTTTCAGTATCTCGCAGCATTCCTCGGACGCACGGTGTGAAACAGACGGAGAACAATCTACCAAGGGCGTGGAGGTACGGCCAGTAAGCATAGGATAACAGTTGATATTGCTTGTTTTTCTTGGTTTGGGGAATTGTCAGTCTTGCCTCAACGGTCGTTCTCGATTGTGGGGATACGTGTGTTGTATGTACTGTGAGGTACTTTCGTGTTTGCTCTGTGGATACCGAGAGCGGTCTTGTGTACAAAATCCAGTCGGATCTACCTCTGCTGCGCCGGGAACCTGATTGAATTATTTGAACTGAACAGTCAGTAACCCTGACTTGCAACGGACTTTACCGTTTATACTTCAATAATTCTGCAGTTTTTGGCATTGGTTGATGATATACCACGCCACCAAAGACGATTAATTTTGTCAGGGTCATATCGAAAGAAAGCCACACAATGTACAGTGCTCGCTGTAAACCAGGTTTCTAAAAACGATAAATAAATTAAAATTGAGAAAAAGCCTCGTTTTCCTCTTCACCTTTCTCACCGTTCGCACTGTCAGGTCACTGAATACAGTGAATAGGGAAACAAATTAGGGTATGGAGCTTGTTGTGACCATCGAGGCTGGTGATGCTATTAATGTATTGGAGATATCGTGAACTGGCGAATTCTGTCGCTACATTTCATATGTCAAGGGTTTGTTATCCACATTAACCCTTTGTGACCCCACTGAAAGTACGACAATTTGCTCACCTCCGAATAACATGCACGTTCGCTTGTATCTCTGCCAAACATTCACCGATTTTTACGAATTTGCCACCGCTGGAAAGGTATTTCCAAGACGAAGCGACTAATACCACACTCAAGCCAGCTACCTGCACGGCCTCTGCTCTGCGTGGCCTAGAATGCCGTTCAGAACAGCAGCCGTGCGCGAACAGCTCCAACAAAGTTCAAACAGCCGCCATTCCATTCTCCTTCATCACATCGACTTCAAATAAACTACAGCGGAAAGCTCGTTTCAAGCGCAAAATGTTGGTGTGCAGCATGCTTGAGTATGACGTAGCACTCCGGGGAAAACCCCTGCCAAGTGCAGTGTGAAAATTTGAATTTTTCGATCGGAGTGAATTTTTCAGTTTTCCTCCTACCTCGAGTAACACCACGGCGGCATCGTACCTCGTAGAGACTTCGGATAACTTCGACGTGATAGCCAAGGTTCCTCTCGAGACGCAGACGCTTTGTTTATGAAAATCGGGGAAGGAACACCAGAGATATAATATTTTTAGTGCCACTGTATACCAATCGATCGATGGGGTCACAAAGGGTTAAATTATTTTAGCACATTGATACCGGAGTGTTGGCGTGCCTGCGGATGAAGAAACTCAGTCTGGCTGACTCTCTCTATTGGATTCCTTTTTTCTGTTTTTATTTAGGGCTGAAACGAACATAATTTCTCAGTAATCGAGCGTTCTTGACGCTAACGAACGAATACTCTTTTGGTTCTGCGACTCCCCGTGTTGTTGTCTACGCCTGTGTTGAATCCTGGCTGTAACAGCACTGGAAAACTAGACGTGACAAGTCCGTGTAGGTTCACTCCCTGTGATCAGTTACACCAAGAGTAGAGGGGCGGGGGGGGGGGGGGGGGAGGGGGTTAGGGGTATGTATTCTTGGTTACATAAAGGTTGCTCCCTGCAGTCGAGGACTCGAGGCACGGCTTACTTGTGCGAAGTGCGTGCCCTTCACACAACAGCGCGGAAGCACGGATGTCGCACTTGTGCAGGCTAGCACCGTGCCTGTGGACTGCCTGTGCGTGGCCACCGAACTGCGCTGAGTGATGCTCACACAGCCTCCGCGTTACCGTGTAACAAGAGTACAACTCGTAGTAGCATATCGGGGGAAAAAAATCAGTAATATTGGTCACCTCACGAATGTTCGTTCTGCGAAGCTAAACAAACGAATGTTTGAATATTCGGGATTTTCGTTTCAGCCTTTTTTTTATTGCATTGCAAAGATAATGGGCTGGTGATGTCGGTAGTATGTAAGCTCAGTTGTAAGTCTGAGGAAATCCGCTGATACTGTACATAGAAAACGTGGCTTTCCTGCTGATAATTCGAGCGTAGCGAGGCATAATTTTAAGTTCGCCGTACTGTGCTGCACTGGTCAGTTGTTCGGTTGCAGACTGGTCCCAGTCATACATATCTCCTGCAGACCAGAGCAGGTCGTCAAACAACTGCCAGATTTGGAACGGGAAATTCCCAGTACTCGTTCAGTGCGATATCTTTGCGTGGGTGAAGAGCAGAATATTTTCAATGCGATATGTACGTGCAGCTCGAGCACTCGCACACTCAAATTGTTGTGTTGTGGTCCCATTGCGTACAGGAAAACCTCTTCCTATTCTCAGGATTCTAGCTGTATTATACTCACAGGTGCTGCCATGTCCTTGGATGTGTTGTGTGTTCACAGCTAGACGACATTCACGGTTGACTGCAGCGGTGGTAGTCTCTTTGGAGTTGGCCTTCCCCGCCTATTTTCCTTGCCATCATGCCGTCACCACACAAGGTTTGTTCTCCTCCCAATGGTGTTCTGCCTTTCCATAGTATTGCCTAGCGACAAAGGTCTATGGCCATGCTTCGTCATGGCCGTAGATTTAGCGGTGGTACCTGTGCACGGTTGTTTGTGGCAGCTCGCTTGACACGGTCTCCAGGTGTGTGTGTGTGTGGGGGGGGGGGGGGGGGGTGACAATGACGTGACAATGCACACGACGGAAGTTTTGCGGCAAGCTCCTATTGATTTCCTACGTAACGACAAAACCAGCTTTGCCCACGTGTGAGCGCCTGCTTTCGTTGAGCGTCCGTAAATTACTGCGACAATTGGCACCACTCTCTGGTACCTGCACTTAGCCGAGTCGTAACTCAATGGCGCAATTGTGGTTGGTGAAATCCCACCCCTGGCTTCCGGAGGTTCCATGAAAGCACAGACTAGCGTGTGCCCTTGCATGTAGTCTGTACGCATTCTCTGGTGGCATTACGACGTAGAAAGAAGAAGAGGGAAAGAGGGCACCGATCTATGCGCGGGTTGAAAACATGTAAGCTACAGTGCTGCTCAATGAAATTTGATCGAGTGAGTCCAACTTTGCGCCCTGCACCAGTGAGCATTTCAGTTGCCGCTGGTGTAGAGCTGCACAATGCCCGGTGCTCATTCGCTCGCTTAATTTAATGTAGTTGGCGACTACACTACGATGTGTAGCGCGCTGGTCTCTGTAGACAGGTGGTCTTCCAGCGGAGGTCTGACTATATTGTTGTGCCATCGGCTGGTGTGCTGAGATGGCCGCTCTCTATCAGACAGGTGGTCTCTTGTAGACAGGTTGAGACAAGAATACATGAACCCCAGAGTGTACCGATTCTGACTTTTTCGGCATGGGTGTTTCTCACCACTAAATTACGGGACTACGAGAAGATCATATTTGGTGCGGATATGCAGCGAGAAGTGGCATAGTGCGTAAAACTGAGCTGCAGTTGTGCACCAGGAGACCTTCTTGAATCCTACTTGTACGCACTACATCACTAAAATAATGTGCTGTATAAGCAGAAATATTCGTCTGGAATTTAATTTCGTCTTTTTCGTCCAAGGAGCTGTTGGACTAAATTAAATGTAGGACGAATATCGATTTGTCCAGCGTTTCTATACCCTCTTATGATCTATGGACGAAATTTTCAACCGGACGAACGAAATTTTCTGTGGAGTTGGACGAAATTATTGACCGACGAAATGTTCTGCCTCTACAGTAATCAAGAAATTTCGCCGTAACAGCAACCCATTCGAGCTGCGCACTCTGGGTTTCATACTTCATAGTACCGTAAACTGCCTAATATTCGCGCGGCGGATTAATGTTCGCTATTTTCGCGAGAAGAGCGTAGCGCGAATATTAACCATCGTCAAATCAAGCTTCAGCAGTGCGTGTATGTAGGTGGCTCCAGTGCTTTGCGAACTTTTGCCATCGTAAACTTGTTGGTTCTAAGAAATCGCGAAAATTTAGTGACGCGAATATTGGGCGGTTTACAGTGCTCTTGGTTCTTATGTGCGGTGAAACCATGGTTATGTGGTCCGGTGAAGCCATGGTTATGTGATCCGGTGAAGCCATGGTTATGTGGTCCGGTGAAGCCATGGTTAGGGCGCGTTCAGACTGGCGTAAAAAAACAAGCGGAATGTGAAAGTTGTCAAGGTGAATCGCTCACGTGACGTTCCCGCCAGCGTAAACACGGAAAAGGGTTCCCACCACTCTGCAGGCCAGTGGAATGCAGATTCCGGCGGCACGCGGAGCGCTTTTGATATCCTTGCAGCGCATGTTCCGTCTTTTCGTTTTATTTCAGCCTCTGATCTTGCAGTCTGACTGCATGTTTTTGAGTTTTGACTTCTAGACTGCCAACTAATTACTTCTCCCATCATGCCGAAATCTTTGTTCGACTCAGCAATGGAGAGGGAGTTCATGGAGCTGTACGTGGTGATTTTTGCGGGCCGCTCTGCAGGCAAAACGTTACTGCGAACGAGAAGCATACTCTGATCGCGGAGTGGATGAATGCCACCCAAGCACCAAACACTCCGGACATAGTATACTTTCCGTCGACAAGCACAAGCAAAAGCACAATGATCCAGCATCTCAACAGACTGAATTAGTTTATTTTGATATCCAACTCAAACTGAGTCAACTCAAATTTTTCAAATGTCGAAGCTTCACGTAATGTACTGGGCATTCCAGCGGGATACACGTGCAGTGTGATTGCGATTCCCGGGATTACGCTGCAGCTTTCCGGCGGCTATTCACGCCAGTCTGAACGCGCCCTTATGTGGTCCGGTGCCTGAGATAACCGGCTTCCACAAGACATGTTGTCTTCGTGGAGAGGTTCAAAATGCGCATTGAAACCGTGGTACGGTGGTCGGTTTAAAAAACAGGTTTCTGTGTCTAGCTAGAGCCTTGTACAGTGCTGTTCACTGAAATCCAGTTGCGTCACTCAAGTACGCGCCGGGCGTTGCTCAGCGCTAGACCCGCGCACTGTGGGCTGCGAAATGGTGCAAGGCACAAACGTGTGTGACGCGACTGGATTTCATCGAGCAGGACTGTGCTGGCAGTGCAATTTCAACGGCTGGCATTCATGTACTGTGTGTGTGTTTGTGTGTGTGTGTGTGTGTGTGTGCGGCTTCCGGAAACCGGGAATCGCATGTCACTTAACCCAGCCGTGCAACACGTCTCGTAGGATATGTGCCATTGTAATATAATAATAAATCCTTCTCTCAACATGTGCTTAGACCGAGGACCTGAAAAGCCTGCCAAAGTGGCAATTGTCCTTGCACCTCCATTTTCAAGAGTACTCGGGAGGGAAAGGAGACCCACTGAGACTCCTCCTCTTTGTTCGTTTGTTCCTGAAAACCTTCATTCCGTTTCACCGAAATAATGAAGACTCCTTTGTGGCTGTCTTCCTTTTCAGAAAAATGTTGACTGGCACTTTCGTTCGGGTCCAGTTTGTTCTAACACGCTTGGGAGAAGGATTTATTCGGGCTCTGTCTGGTTTGTGCGTGTATCTAACGGACCATGCCATTTATAGACTTCCACTTTGCTTTGCAGGGCACAACGACGACGGCCACGGCGCTGGTATCACCATCAACCTCGTCATCTCACATGGACGTTGGCACTGGCAACGGCGACCGTCATTCCGCCGCTGCACACGGCACCACGGCAACCACCAGGCAGCTAGTCGGTTACGGATCCGACAACGGCTCGCCGTCCTCGCCGTCACGAAGCCGATCTCGCTCACCGGTGTCGTTGCATCGCTCACACAAGCCCAGTTACCGGCATCGGAAGCGCTCGCGTTCGTCATCGCGCTCGCCGCCCCGCTCCAGCGGCCACAAAGATTCGTCGCCGCATCGTCGGCGCAAGCACACGCGCCGCTCGCCCAGCCCTCGTGGTCACCACGGCAGCAGTGGCAGGAGCAATCGCCGACACAGTCCGTCGCCGACGCATCGCCGTCACCATCGCTCGCGTCGCTCCAAGTCACGGTCGCCACAGCGACGCCGCTCCCGGTCCAGGTCGCCACGGCGACAGAGACGCACGGGCTCGCGCTCTCCTAGTCCCGGTCATCGCGCGACACAGCGTGGACGCAACTACGGCCGCAACTCATTCAGTGATAACCATCGTGGAGGTGGCGGCAGTTCCGGATATCGCCATAAACGCAGTGGCGGCTCTGTGGATGATTCTGCTCGCAAGCCAATGGCGTTTGTGAAGGCATCTGACGAGGGTCCCAGCCAATCTGCTACTCCTGTCAAGGCCGATTCTGGTGAGTGGCTTGGATTCTGCTTTCTGGTGTGTCCACTAGGTGTGTGCTTGCGTGTGTACGCTTGATCTCTCTCTCTCTCTCTCTCTCTCTCTCTCTCTCTCTCTCTCTCTCTCCCTCTCTCTCTCTCTCTCTCTCTCTCTCTCTCTCTCTCTCTCTCTCTCTCTCTCTCTCGATCTCTCTATCTATGTCTCGGCCTTTCTCTCTTGGCCTCTCTCTCTCTCTCTCTCTCTCTCTCCTCTCTCTCTCTCTCTCTCTCTCTCTCTCTCTCTCCTCACTCACACGCACACTGGGAGAGCATACTGTAAATCTACAAATGTTCGATCCATCCGAATTCGGCCTCCCAGGGCTAAAACTCATTTCGGCCGCATTAAATTTTCGGCCTGTACCGCTGCTGCCTGTATATGCTGTCACACTGAACCTTGCAAAGCAAAATTGCAGCGACAACAAATTTTTGGCCAAATATAACCAAGCTGAAGTTAGCCAATAATAAATATGCGCCGAATATTAATTGACTTACAGTACGCAGACCAAGAATGATCAGGTTGTGGTAATCTGCAAGATCGGTATAATTTAGGTGTCTATTACGTCCGCACTCCCACATCAAGTTTGCATGGCTCAGGATCTTGCTACCATCTATGCCACATCAAATCTGTGATTACTTTGTGCATAACAATTTCGAAATTGGGCGTTTGCTATCCGATCGCTTTAAAAATTATGCCCGTATGAGAATAAACTGTCGTGTACATGGAAATCCAGTCGCACGTCTAGCAGCCCCAGGGCGCTGGCCATGCAGCCGTGGGTAAGCAGTACGCACATACCTGTATTGCCATGCGCTGCTGGTGGCATCGGATCAACATGTTCACTGCATGCAACGCCCCTGTACGCGCTGAGGGCGCCGGCCCGGTCAATCGACTGGATTTCCACGTCCGCAGACGTATGTACCATGTCCGTGACCAGATTCTCTGTGCTTGTGCTGTGTTTCAGCTTCAGCCACATCAGCGGCAGTGACGGCTGCTGCTGCGGCAGCAGCGTCCACCATTGCGGCCATGGGTGGTGACTCCTCCGGCGCCGCTTCGTCCTCGTCCGTTCCTACGTCCAGCGCACCGGCAGCGGATGCGTCCAGGTCTGGTCAGCTGCCGAATTCAGTGTCATCGTGTCTGGTGCCAACTCCACCAGGGTCTCTAGCGTCATCGGCGCCCTCAGCGGGCAACTCGGCCCTGAAAGCCGCCGTGTCTCAGGCAGCCCTTGCTGCCCAGGCACTCGCCAACAGGACCGCGATGCCCGGCGCTCCCGCGAGCTCTGCCGCTGCTGCGGCTGCCGCGGCGGCTGCTGCTGCTGCCGTCACTGCCCGCTCTGGCCTGGCGTCGGCACCCACCGTCAGCCTCGCAGCGCCGCTAGCTGGCGGTGCGCAGTCGATGGGCTTTGCACCGCCGTCGCGTCTGCCCCATCAGGCAGGAGGCCCTGTGCCGCTCATGCCGCCCAGCGTGCAGGCGCAGTTGCAAGCCGCCCAGCAGGTCCATCACAATCCGCAGCGCTCTCTGCAGGAGCAGAAGAGGAAGCTCCTCTGGGCCAAGAATAAGGTAAGAGTGGAGAGATGTGGCTTTTGTTGTTGTTGCTGTTTGTTTGTTTGTTTTTGTTTTACTTCACTTTTCTGTGACCACGTTGGCGTACAGGGCTGCTCAATGAAATCCAATCCTGTGCGTCCAGCGTGCCTGCTGCACCCAGTTCACACCACAGTGTTTGCAGGTCTAGGGCTGCACAGCCACCCGGCGACATGGCGTTGGCTCGCGTGATTGGATTTCATTGAACAGCAGCACTGTGCGTACGGTAGTGCGATCACTTGGTTTTGGCATGGGTGCGAGGTCTAGGTCTCGGCCAGCCTGGCCGTCGTGCCCATGATGGCAACAGGTTCCGCCTCCGGTTTTTGTGAACATGACTGCTTCTCTGCATACCGTCAACTTCGCTAATAACGACTGCGGATACAACGACAATTCACGAATAACGGCAGAATTTCCATGCCCAGGGCAAAGTCTCATCTAACTGCAATACATACCATGAGACTTCGAGTTTTAGGACACTTCGTGAATAAGGACGCTTTTCTGATGTCACGCCGAAAGTAGTTATACGCAAAGTTGGCTGTACACGTCTTGGTGGTGGTCGTGGGTACAAAACACGAGTAGCCTGTCGCCCCAGAGTGTACAATTATCGATACACTAACTGGCGCTCGGTTCTAGATTCACACCCGGCACTGAGCTGCAGTCCCTAGTATAACCCGTTATGTCCAAACATGCACATGGTGAACAAAGGTCAAGAGTCTGTATAGGGGATTCACACGACGCGCAAACGCACGTGTGTGCTACATGTGCTGTAAAGTGGGAAGCTTTCGCTAGTGATTAAATTTCGCTATTTTCGCGACCACCGCACATTCGCGAATATAAATCGCCACAAACCACTCCGTACATTGATTGTAGACAGTACAAGATCCGACTGAAGAGATAGAATCGCAAAAGTTTCTCATCGTGAACCAGCCCGATTTATGAAAACGCTAAATTTGCGCACCGCGAAAGTTTGTCACTTTACAGTGCTCTTTTTTCTCGTGTGTCCAAAGTGCAAAATCTTGATAAACTTGCTCGGGGGTCCTTGGCCCACTTTTGTGCTTTGCGCGCGTGTAAAAACAGCGAAAGTACTTGAGTATGGTACTCACGTTACATGAGTACATAGACGCATGCGAGATTTGCACGGGTCTGTTGTCCGCGTGAATCCGATGGGCAGCTTGTCTACTTTTTCTCAAACCTGTTTTCGTTCATTTTCACGTTGTGTGAATACCCTATTAGGGATGCATAATGCCAACATGCCCCTCTCACAGGCTTTGCGCCTGCTGAGTATGTGCCAAGGTGCTGCCAGCGTCAGGTGCGTGCACAGTCGAATTGCGTTGCAAAGCGATCAAGAGTTGTGGCATGCACCAGCGAGCACTTGCGAAAAGTGCATGCACACTCAAATCTCAATGCAATGACGTGCACTGCCTACAATTAATACTGTTGTTATGTTGCCTTTCCGCGTGGAGATACCCTCGCCCGTGGAACGTACTGTGCAACTCCAGACTGATTGCTTTGTTTTGTGCACGTACGACTCTGTGCGTGTACCTCTGTGTGTGTGTGTGCATATGTGTGTGCGCATACGTGTGCGTATACTTGTGTCATGTATTCCGCTTGCTGGTCCCATGCAGCCGGGTGAGGCCCAGTCATCGTCCAGTGGCGGCAGCAGCATGCCCACCACCAACACGGCCAAGGTCTACAAGCAGGCCACGTTCAACGACAACGTCACCTCCGAGCAGCAGCTCAAGTTCCAGCGCATGCTCGGCTTAAAGGCGAACGACGCGACCAACGGCGGCCGCGGCAAGATCGTGTCCGACTCGGACTCTCCCGCGGCCGCCAAGCAGGCCATTCGCGACCAGTACGACAAAGTCCAGGAAGACTTGGACCAGCAGTACGCCAGTTCGCGTGTTTTCACTCACACGGCACGCGGTACAGGGCTCGGCTTTAGCTCCTCGTTCGGCCAGCCCTCGCAGTTTCCTCCGCAGCAGCTGCCGCAGCCGCCTCAGCAACCGCAATAGTAGTGCGCGGGGGTGGCGCTCGAGCTGCATTCGCTTTAGCGAATTCAGCTAAACGGCCTCAGGAACCTCATTGTAGTGTGTGGCGATCGAAACTGCGTTCGGTTTAGCGTCCGTATCATCTATAATGGCTTGTGTTCTCTGTTTTTTTTATTGTAGTCTTGCTCCCTTTTTTTGGTTTCTTTGCTTTCTGGGTGTGTTGCTGGTGGTGTTTCACCCTGCGCCAATCGTCCGTGTGATGCTTTTTTTTATGACTTCATTCTACCATCCAGTGTGCAAGCATTACATCGTACTCTGTGAGCTTATGACTCGTGTGTTCGTGGGAGGCCGTCGATACCCTAGCGACTGTTGTTGTTGCGGCGGCCGCTACAACAACGCAGTTTTTGATGTCCACATAAAGTATTGCGCATGGCGCGTGGCATTGACTCGGTGTGAGTGGTGGCCACTACGCCATCCCCTGTGCTGTGTACATGTAATGGTGGGTGTGTTTTGGCTCATTGTGTATACTGGTATACGGAGTAGACGTGTTGTGACTCGCGTGTCCCGAGATCAGCTTGTGCTGCCTACTGGCGTGTGTGTGTGTGGCTTTAGCTGCGTGGTGTAGACCAGGCTGAATAGTGGCGGTCAATTCTTCAGCCTTGCAAGCTGTTGAATGGTGCAATCCCAGCACAAGTTGCTATGGCTTCTGCTGTAGCATCGCTATCATCGCCTCCGGCGATGGGCGTCAAATGGTCAATGGTGTGCCTGCGCCTGTGTGTCCATAAAGTTGCACTTGTGTGCTTGGCTCGCCCATTGCATGGTGATGTGCTCACTGTCCATGATCTGGGCACATTATCCGACTGCATTGTCTGTTCACTCGGTTGACATGCCAGTGAGGGGACTGTGTTGGCCGCTTGCATGCCCGGCCGTGTCATCTATGTGTTTGTACATGTACGGGTCTGCTCAAGGACATCCAGTCGCGTCACTCAAGATTGCGCCTGGCACCATCTCGCAGCCCAAGTGTCCGCAGGTCTAGCGCTGCGCAACGCCCGCCGTGTACTTTTAAAGTTACATGACTGGATTTCACTGAACACCACTGCAGTTGCAAGAGTGGGTGACCATCGCCGGGAATCGTAGCATCACGGGATCACAGTCCCCGGACCGATGTGCATCTCGACCCCGGATTTGGCCGTTCTACGCGTGATCCATGGTCTCTGCAACACTTGACCATGCCCGTCAAGAGAGTCCTAAGGGTGAAGAAACCGGCCCGGACAAGCGATGCCATAATTATGCGAGCATGTAGAAAGTGGTCCTGCCCCAAGGGTGATTGTAATGGGCAGCCCGGGGTCAAAACACAATATCATAATTATAGCTACAAGTAACAATCAAGTGAATACCTTTGCAGTCATTGCAACTTTGCGTACCGGTATAACGACACTCGCCGGGTATAAGAAAAGTGTCGCGAAGTGTCCTTATACCCGAACGACAGTATTACAGTTAGATGGGACTTTGCTCTGGGCATGGAAATTCTGTCGTATTTTGCGAATTGTCGTTATTAGCGAAGTTGACTGTATATGTCATGAATAGACTCGGATGGAGAGTCAAGGATTAATTGATAGAAAAGAAAAAGGACCAAGGAACTACAAGTAACGCATTATCGCACGAGCTGATTTTTTAGTAGCTGGTGGTGTTCATTATTAGCGTTACTTGTAGTTCCTTGGTCCTTTTTCTTTTCTAAAATTGACTACATCTTTGTCGTTTCCCCTCGAGTAGTAGTTGAGTGTAGATGCTACTGTAAAAGCAGAAATTTTCGGTGGTGTAATATTTTCGGTATTCTCCAAAATCGGCAGTTCGGTAGAGGGAATTTTTCGGTAAAACCCGTTTTCCAGGTACGTGTACTAGTACTACATGTATACAGTATCGGTTGGTGCGTTTTATTATCGGTAAAAATTGTCGGCACCGAAGTTACCGCAAATAAACACCACCGAAAATTTCTGCTTTTACAGTACGTCTTTAATTCCTTCGTGATGGTCATCATGCTCTGACATTGCTGCTCCTGCATGGAGACTAAACATCATAGTGCATGCATGCACCGAGGGCCCGTGCAGTTTGTTCCGAGGAACGCATAGTATGTCCTCCATGCACATGCAGGGTTCTCGACAAAGGGACATAACGGGGCGCTGCGCCGTCCTTCATTTTTGCCCCCCTATCAAACTGAACGTGCCACCCTTTTGCAAGCATGATCGGCGGGTTCCAGTGGCCGGGGGGAATACATACATGGAATGGAATTAGTCGGGCGGTTGCTTACAGGGGTCGTTGAAAGTAGTGGCCAAAATGGAGGGAAATCACAAAACTTTGAGTGCGATGACCCCCCCCCCCCCCTCCCCTCCCCTCCTCACCTTTATTCTGGCTATCCCTGATGCATGGGGTTGAACAGAGATTCTCTCCGGCACTGGATTGTGGGTGTCGGTGATTTCTTGTAGGCCTGGCTAGCTTTAGGAAATGATCGAGAGAGCCACATGTGCAATGTCAAAATTACAGTCAGACCTCGCTTATCATCGAGCCGGTCCGATCATTGACGCTCCCAACTACTGATTGAATCCGTGGATTGATAGGAACGTCTGCAATATTGACCGCGGCACCAGGTGGCGAAAGCCGGCACTTTAATCTTTATTTCCACGATGGCCCATGGTCAATAGGGAAGATAATATGATACTTGTGTTGGCCTAGCATTTAAAGAATCCCTCGCGATCCGGAAGAAAATCGTCGGTTACCGATTACAGCCAGACCTTGCTTATCCGGTCCTCCTTTATCCGGATCCCTCGCCGCATCCGGAAGAAAGTCGTTGGTTACCGATTACAGCCAGACCTTGCTTATCCGGTCCTCCTTTATCCGGATCCCTCGCCGCATCCGGAAGAAAATCGTTGGTTACTGATTACAGCCAGACCTTGCTTATCCGGTCCTCCTTTATCCGGATCCCTCGCCGCATCCGGAAGAAAGTCGTTGGTTACCGATTACAGCCAGACCTTGCTTATCTGGTCCTCCTTTATCCGGATCCCTCGCCGCATCCGGAAGAAAATCGTTGGTTACTGATTACAGCCAGACCTTGCTTATCCGGTCCTCCTTTATCCGGATCCCTCGCCGCATCCGGAAGAAAATCGTTGGTTACCGATTGCAGCCAGACCTTGCTTATCCGGTCCTCCTTTATCCGGATCCCTCGTCGCATCCGGAAGAAAATCGTTGGTTACCGATTACAGCCAGACCTTGCTTATCCGGTCCTCCTTTATCCGGATCCCTCGCCGCATCCGGAAGAAAGTCGTTGGTTACCGATTACAGCCAGACCTTGCTTATCCGGTCCTCCTTTATCCGGATCCCTCGCCGCATCCGGAAGAAAATCGTTGGTTACTGATTACAGCCAGACCTTGCTTATCCGGTCCTCCTTTATCCGGATCCCTCGCCGCATCCGGAAGAAAGTCGTTGGTTACCGATTACAGCCAGACCTTGCTTATCTGGTCCTCCTTTATCCGGATCCCTCGCCGCATCCGGAAGAAAATCGTTGGTTACTGATTACAGCCAGACCTTGCTTATCCGGTCCTCCTTTATCCGGATCCCTCGCCGCATCCGGAAGAAAATCGTTGGTTACCGATTGCAGCCAGACCTTGCTTATCCGGTCCTCCTTTATCCGGATCCCTCGCCGCATCCGGAAGAAAATCGTTGGTTACCGATTGCAGCCAGACCTTGCTTATCCGGTCCTCCTTTATCCGGATCCCTCGCCGCATCCGGAAGAAAATCGTTGGTTACCGATTAGCAGCATACATGTATGTCATGCATACATACAGTATGTGTGTTCGATCATCCGGTTTCCTCGCCTATCCGGATAATTGTTTCTGGAAAACGGATGTGTGCGGTTATGCGAGGTCTGACTGCATGTAGCGATACCTCGGGACCATCGTTTTGTTCTGTGGCGTGGTACAGTCAGACCTCGCTTATCTGGTCCTCTTTTATCCTGATCCCTCGCCATCCGGAAGAAAATAGCTGGTTACAGATTTACAGCATACGTGATGCATCATCTAAAATAACCCGGTAATCCGGTTCCCTCGCCTATCCAGATAATTTTTGTGGAAAACGGATGTGTGCGGTGAAGCGAGCTATGACTGTACCTGCATGTGACCGGCGTGACACAACACCGGCACCTATACTATAGTCAGTCAAGTCGTATGCGAATCAGGGACTACCAAATCACGGTATTTTACTACTCCCTGATGCAAACATGCACGACACACAAACAGCCACATGTACACTGCTGTAATTTCAAAAAGATCGCAAGAACATTTTTAATTTTGTAAAAACGGTGAGCACCCTGGCTATACCAGACACTGTTACTATAATGTTGTGTCGGTCATTGAAGTCCGGTGGAATGACCGCCCTACTTTAACTGCCATAGCAGCGCGTTCACCCGTGAACACACGGTGCACAAAATAGAATCCAGCAGTGCTGACGGCCGCAAGGCCACCACCCGGGCCATGGCTACTTGACATTTCTATGGATTTTTAAATTGTCCACAACAACAACACAGTACAAGTACAGACATCGCTTAACTGCACACATCCGTTTTCCACAAAGATATCCGGATAGGCGAGGGAACCGGATAATCAAACATGTATGTATGCATGCCATATGCTGTAAATCGGTAACAACCGATTTTCTTCCGGATGGTGAGGGATCCGGATCAAAGAAGACCGGATAAGCGAGGTCTGACTGTTCCGGCGTATTTCCCCCAATTATAAGTCGCACTGGATTGTAAGCGACACCCCACTTTCAAGTTTGAGCAATGTTGTTTCAATATAATCACACAAGAAGGACGCCTCACTCGATTGTAAGTCCTATCTCTCTTTAGGCGGAGACGTTTGGTGTAAAATTGTGCTTCTTGTATTCGGGGGAAAGCAGTGCGTGTTACTGTTCTCGTTTGGATTCAGTGTAGGCGACGCGTGTGCTGTCCGCAGATTCGGAATTTTTAAACATAATATTAATACATGTACGCGCATACCTAGGTTATCCTGGCGGTCCGTAACCGAGGCACGAGCATACATGTTTGCATCAGACTTCGAAGTACTTAGTACAGTCAGACCTCGCTTTTCCGGTCCTCTTTTATCCGGATCCCTCGCCATCCGGAAGAAAATTGCTGGTTACCGATTTACAGCATTTGTCATGCATACATACAGTACGTGTGTTCGATTATCCGGTTCCGACCTCGCCTATCCGGATATTTTTTTCTGGAAAACGGATGTGTGCAGTCTTGCCGGCAAGGTCTGACTGTACAGTAGTTAACCGTTAGTGCAGCCCTACATCGGATCCCAACATATAGCTGAGCAGAATTGACCGCGTCTGTAGTACAGTAGAACGGCGAATTTTAGCGGGTGCATTTTTTGACGTTTCCTGAATCTGGACCAATTCAAAGCGATCCGAGTTCCGGGCGTTAAAAAGAAGGATGGGACTAGTACTATACTGTACATGCAAATTTTCGATTGATGCGGCAAAACGTTTTAGCGACAAAAATCCTTTCGCTGAAGTCGCTAAAATTAGCCGTTTTACAGTAAGCCCTCCTGTCGTGTAATGTACATGTATGCGGGAAGCATAGCTCATCATGGTTGTTTGTCCGGAAACGGAAAGCCTCTGTGCCTGCAGGGACCAGATGATGGTGTTCTGTGTGCACACGCTTCGTGTGACCTCAGCACTCGACTGCATTCGTGTGATTATGACTGCGTATGATCAAGAGTACATAACCCCCCAGAGTGTGCAACTCCCACATACCCTGCTGTCCCGACAGAATTTCAAGTTGACGTCATTATTTATGACGCAATGCTCCTTGCACCAGTGATATACAACATGTGTACGGGTGTCAACGCATCACACGTTTTTCTTTGCAATAATTTGTACAGGATCAGATCGGCTTCGCGCGAGTTCAGTCAACCACAGGTTCCGGATTCGTCTGATAATCCGTGTACAGTGCGCATTGCATCATCAAAATGACGTCAACTTGAAATTCTGTCGGGACAGCACCCATAGTCGAGTTGCACACTCTGGGGGGGGTTATGTACTCTGCGTATGATCAAGAGCAGAGAGTACAGTAAAACCTGTGTTTGCCGGACCCTGTACAAAGCGGACTTATCCTGAATTGACTGGACAGATCTTCATGCACCGAAAGCGCCGTCACCGGGACTGAGCGTACATTCCTGGATCAAGCCGGATCCTGTCATATGCATCAGGACAGATTCTGCTGCGGCAAGGGCGTCAGGTTAGGGAAGGTTTTACTGTACAGTAGAGTAGCGTGCCCAAGAACGTTGTTTCCAAAGGGTTCGCCTGAGACGTTCTTACAGCACGTTCTTAGAGCCAATTCGCACTGAATGCTTTTTGTTCCGAAAGCTACCAGAAAACGAACGCCCCCGTTCTCAACTTGAGGCTGTGGCGTTCTTAGCTTTCCAGGCTGGGCGTTCTTGGGATGTACCTTCTTCTGAGTTCGACTCTACTGTAGTAAATAACGATACTTTACCACACCCTGATCAAGAGTGCAGAAGGGGTAAAATCACGTTCTTGGAGTACGGGGCCAGCAAATGTGTGGTGATGAGTACTCCCCACCCTGATTTTTATACCAACGAAGCGATTTCAGGACAAAAGACAGTTTCTAAAGAAAATGAGACCGACTACCTGCCTGATCTCCTTGCTGCCACAACTGCATAACATACAGTAGAGCCGCACCGAAGAACGTGAAGGCCAAGAACGCCCAGCCTGAAATGCTAAGAACGCCACAGCCTCAAGTTAGGAACGGCGGTGTTGATTTTCTGGTAGCTTTTGGAATACATTGGATTCAATACGAATTGTTTCTAAGAACGTGTTATAAGAACTCAGCCTGATTGCTGTGAACAGCGTTCTTGGGCACGCGCCTCGATCGTATCCAGGGCTGGAGAAATGAACAAATAGACGTGGTTAGCATTTCACCGTTTACGTTAAATCCAACGATACTCGTACCCTACACCCAAAATACCGTCGGTTTGGCATCGCTTCGACGATAGAAGGCTCTGTTGACCGGGAGAAACAAACGGTAAGATTCCAACTACATACGTGTAGAGGGTGACGTGATGTCACAAGCCGATCGTTGTCAGAAACGGAAATGCTGATCAGGTCTTGTGCACGCACACACACACACACATACAGGCCGACGGTCGAAGTTAGGGTGAACGGTAAATGCTAGCCATGTTCTCAACTTGAGGCTGTGGCGTTCTTAGCTTTCCAGGCTGGGCGTTCTTGGGATGTACCTTCTTCTGAGTTCGACTCTACTGTAGTAAATAACGATACTTTACCACACCCTGATCAAGAGTGCAGAAGGGGTAAAATCACGTTCTTGGAGTACGGGGCCAGCAAATGTGTGGTGATGAGTACTCCCCACCCTGATTTTTATACCAACGAAGCGATTTCAGGACAAAAGACAGTTTCTAAAGAAAATGAGACCGACTACCTGCCTGATCTCCTTGCTGCCACAACTGCATAACATACAGTAGAGCCGCACCGAAGAACGTGAAGGCCAAGAACGCCCAGCCTGAAATGCTAAGAACGCCACAGCCTCAAGTTAGGAACGGCGGTGTTGATTTTCTGGTAGCTTTTGGAATACATTGGATTCAATACGAATTGTTTCTAAGAACGTGTTATAAGAACTCAGCCTGATTGCTGTGAACAGCGTTCTTGGGCACGCGCCTCGATCGTATCCAGGGCTGGAGAAATGAACAAATAGACGTGGTTAGCATTTCACCGTTTACGTTAAATCCAACGATACTCGTACCCTACACCCAAAATACCGTCGGTTTGGCATCGCTTCGACGATAGAAGGCTCTGTTGACCGGGAGAAACAAACGGTAAGATTCCAACTACATACGTGTAGAGGGTGACGTGATGTCACAAGCCGATCGTTGTCAGAAACGGAAATGCTGATCAGGTCTTGTGCACGCACACACACACACACATACAGGCCGACGGTCGAAGTTAGGGTGAACGGTAAATGCTAGCCATGTCTGTGAACTATCAGGCGCTGCAGGACCTGGTATATTGACGACCGCATATCACAACGCGGAGTATCAAACACATGTGCTGGTATGCATTGTACTAGTATCATATTATGATAGGTAAATCTACTGCAAAAAATCGAAACTGTAGCAACAACGCATTAATTTTCAATGTACACTGCACTGGCCTGCTGGGTTTCATTCAGAAAATTTTCCACTGTGTATTGTTACCAGTTTGGCCTCATGTTTCGGAGTCGCGGTGATGAGTCCACACAGGACGACATAGTGCTCTCCACAGACGAGAACTGTTGAATAATCCAGGGGTGCCAAGGACATTTTCAAATGGTGATTACTCAGCTCACTCCATGACCCATGGGCAAGCGCAAGCAGTGATGAGAACTACGCGAAATGCTGGTGCTTCATCCATCAATCGGCAGTTTGTTTTGCCGTTGGGCAGAGGAGCTTACGACTTTCCCGGATCCAAAGCCAATCTATTTCCACATGGAGGCCAGAATTCAGAAAGAACGAGGCCGAGAGGTCGAGGATAAACTGCAATCTGAAATATTTACCGGTATCTGAACGCAAAAAAAAGCATCAGCCAACAAAGAAACACTTCCAAAAATGTTCGGTTCTCACCAACATTTTGCAGTTCCAAATATTGTTCTCTGTAACCCCGTTTGTTTCTGTGGCCAAGTGAAAGTTTATTTCTTAATTCCGGTTTCTCTGCGATTTAACACAGCGTGATGGCACGGATCTGATTTTTTATTCTGGTTTACCTGTCAAATTCACAGCCAGAGCACGTGCGCATGTCGTCAGAGCGTTCGCGAAATCGCTGCTTTATCACTGCGCATGCGCAAAACGTTCTTTCTCTTCGCCCCCTTCCATCATGGCGCAGGTTAGTTGTTTTCTCTGCAAGAATCCTTCTCCTCCCTGAATATGAACCGTAGCAGCTGGAATGGACGTAGAGTGATGGACTGGTGTTCTATCGTTATGTGTGTTTCGTAGGAAACTAAGACAAATCGGATGCGCGACATCCGCATCCAGAAGCTATGTCTGAATATCTGTGTTGGTGAGAGTGGTGATCGTCTCACTCGTGCTGCCAAGGTGTTGGAATCCTTGACTGGCCAGCAGCCAGTTTTCTCCAAGGGTAATGGCGTTGGATCCCATCCTTTGTGTTTTTGAAGTTGTCCTTCAAGCTCTGTCGTCTGTCTGCGTGTCCTGTGTTCGTGAATGCAGCCCGTTACACAGTGCGTTCATTCGGTATCCGCCGTAATGAAAAAATCTCTGTCCACTGCACGGTCCGAGGCCCCAAGGCCGAGGAGATCCTAGACCGTGGTTTGAAGGTAAATTGTTGTATTATCTATAGAGTTATCTTGACTGGTTCCATGCTCGTGAAAGAATACAAAAACACTGCAAGTAAAGTCATAAAATTTTATGATTTTTCGTGAAATTTGTTGAGAATTTTCAACAATGGGTTCATTCACCACCACCTCCTTACAAACATTCAGACGAACAGTGTCTATCTTTTAGCGATCAATTAGTCCGAGTCATAGGATATGTACTGTAAATGTTTGGTCTGGAGCATGAGCTTTGCGAAGTTTCGTTGGTTGTACTCGCACATTTTCAATATTTTTTTGCGAAATAAATGATTTCATATCGTGTCGTGTGTGGCTATCCTCTCGCGGAAATGAAGGCTGTTTTTGTTAGCCCATGATTATTGTATGTAATAGGAATATAAGGGAAGCCATAGGGTTGACGTTTGCGACCTTGTTCTCTTCCTGATTGTATAGGTCCGTGAGTACGAACTCCCCAAGGAGGGTTTCTCCTCCATGGGCAACTTCGGCTTCGGCATCCAGGAGCACATCGATTTGGGAATCAAGTACGACCCCAGCATCGGTATCTACGGTATGGACTTCTACGTTGTCCTTGGCCGTCCTGGATTCGGCATCAACAAGCGCCGCCGTGCCACGAGCCACATTGGCACCAGGCATCTTGTCACCAGAGAGGAGGCCCTCAAGTGGTTCCAGCAGAAGGTACGTTGGTGTTAAAACAAAGATTTATCGGTATAATCCCACTTTGTGACTGCACCTCTCGACGAGATTGTGCTGCCCGTGTATGCTATAGCTCGTGTGTTCGTTTGACTAAATGTAGTTGTTTTACATGATAGCAAAGTCCGGTGTACATGGACTACTGGTGATGTTCCTGATTCGTGCGCATTGGTATGGAGTATTTCACTAAGGCATTCTGTCGGAGGTGCTGTGAATATGTACTAGTGCTCTTGGGCCTGATTTGTCGGTGATAGTCAGTATTGGTATGGAGTAGCTCACTACGGCACTCTGCCTGTTGGAAGTGGTTACAAGTTGTGGCATCGTCTTGCAGATATACTGTTTTAGATTATAACATGGGAAGAGTTCTCTTGTTTCCTTGTAATTGCCTTCCTTTTCCTCCGGCTTGTTCGACATTTTCAGATTCACTTTACTAACAGTACCTCATCGTATGTGTCTTATGTTGTTCACACAGTATGATGGTATCCTCATCGGTGGTAAGAAGAAGAGGTCCAAGGTTGTCCGCCGCCGCCGTTAGGTTTGTTCAGTTTCCTCGCCACTCTCCACACTGCTCCCAACGATGTCAATAAAACGTTCTAAAAAGGAATTATATAACGTATGTGTGCGTGTGGGGAGAGAGTATAAATCGCTGGGCGCTGTGCCTGTCCTTTCCTGTGACTTGCGTGCTCTTGGCTTTCTCAGCAAATGCACACAGTGTGCCATTGACTACCAGTCCGGGCTGCTACATTCTGCTTTGCTTACGTGTGTTCGAGGCAATGTAACATTGCATGTTGCGTTTCTGTGAACACTGGCCGAGGCGGTATGGAAAGTTTTCTTGAGGCTGCTGCCTTCAATGGTCATGTTGGCAAGGTGTTGTGTCTACAGTCAACCTTGTGTATGACAGCTCGCACAGCGCAGTCGTTTGACTGCATGCTTTCAATTTCGGGGGAATTTAATATTTCTCGTGTACCAAGGTTGATATTCACAAGGTTGATCGTCATTCGCATCTTGCCGAGTCTTGGATACCGTATAAAGTCTTGTATGAAAGCCGCGGCTTCTATGACTTTCTTGGTGAAATTTTGCAGACATGCTTCTTTGCAAGACAGGTATTTCTATGTATGTCAACACTAACACCAGGCTTGTGTGTGACTTGATGGGCCCAAAATTGCGGCTTCTATTCGAGGGTGGCTTTTATACAAGACTACGGTATGCTAAATAATTTAATTGTGCTGTCTCCAATGTGTGACTACAGTAGTATCGTGTGCCCAAGAACATTGTTTCCAAGGGGCTAGCCCGGGACGTTCTTATTTAGTCAGCGATATATGGCTGCGTTCTTATAGCATGTTCTTAGAAACAATCCGTCCTGGATTATGTATCCGATAAGCTGCCAGAAAACCAACACTGCTATTCTTAGCTTTAGGCTGTGGCGTTATTGGAATATCAGGCTCCACGTTCTTCAGCACGCGACTCCATTGCGCGTTGTATTGTTATGGACAGGGAGTCGTAAAATACCCTCCCTGGTTACAGTAGTCGTGCGCCCAAGAACGTTGTTTCCAAGGGGTTAGCCTGAGGTGTTCTTATTTTTCAACAATCTGGCAGCATTCTTACAGCACGTTCTAATGGGCCATTCACACTACGGCCAAAACCTGGCGTACGTGACGTGTTCGTCCGGATAGCTATGGCAACATGGACCGTGGCGGGAAAATCGTACCCCTGATACGAAAACGTATCCAGACCTCTGTACAAGGTTCGTTGTGTCGTTCCTGGCAGTGTGTCCAAAAGAAGCTGTGTGCACAGCTGTACGAAAAGCGTATACGTGCCTGTGTGAATGCACCTGCATGAAAACGACGTTTGCTAGTATGTCGTATTCCAAAACGTGACGTGTATTGTAACGTAGTTTGAATAGCCTATAAACAATCCGTACTGGATCATATGTATCCCACAAGCTGCCAGAAAACCAACACCGCCGTTCTTAACTTTAGGCTGTGGCGTTCTTAGAATTTCAGGCTGGACGTTCTTGGGCTCCACGTTCTTCAACGCGCGGCTCTACTATATGGAATCAAAAGTACATTGTTTTCTCAGTTTCTAGATAGATACAGTAGAGTCTTGGGCCGAAGGATGTGTACCATGAGATGCTAACAACACCACATTCTAAAGTAAAGAACTTTGGTGTTCGTTTTATGGAAACATTTGGAATACATAGGATTCAATGCGAATTTCTGAGAATGCAGCTGGTCTGCGGAATAAGAACTATTGAAATAAGTTGCAATGTTCTTGGGCGTGCGACTACTGCCGAATAGAGTCATGCACCCAGGAACGTTGTTTCCAAGAGGTTAGCCTCGGATGTTTTTATTTTATTAGCAATACGGCTGCTTTCTTTTAGCTAGAAAACGAACACTGTACTTTGCTTTACATTGTAGGCTGTAGTTTTCTTAGTATTTTGGATTGGACATTCTTCAGCGCGTGACTACTGTAATACGTCAAGAGTACATAAACTGTACTCTTGGTTACGTCTGTAGCTGTTTCAAGATTGTGGACTGGCTGGATTTGAGATACCGACCTAATGACGGAGAGTATATTCTGATCTGTTTGTGATGACAATATTTATTACCATTATTTTACGGTATAATTTTTTATTTGACGTGGTTATGACTGTACTCTTGACGTTGGCCTTTGTCCACGGACTGAGCAAAAAAAGCCTTGGAGAGTAGAGTTCGCACGAAAGATATACTGTAAAGCGACAAACTTTCGCGGCGCGCAAATTTAGTGTTTTCATAGATTGGGCTGATTCACGACGAGAAACTTTTGCGATTCTATCTATTCAGTCGGATCTTGTACTGTCTACAATCAATGTACGGAGAGGTTTGCGGCTTTTTATATTCGCGAATGTGTGGTGGTCGCGAAAATAGCGAAATTCAATCTCTAGCGAAAGTTTCTCAATTAATATTTACAGTAGTGAAAAGATGAAAATTATAATAACACCTCAACGCAAATGCGATGTGGGCTTTCATGATGTGGGCTCAGGTGTTCGCTAGACAAATGATTTAATTTTATTCTATCATCTCTGCGACTGGCCGGATGCGCGTACCAGTATCATCAACAGTTCATAACCCCCATCATGAACTCTTCTTTCGGATAGTTATGATGGTCATGAGGCCATATTGAGGGACATGAGCCCTTGTCTCTTGTCAGTCTTGATCAAAATCTGCCCTCCCCCCCCCCCCACAGCAGGGAGTAGTAAAATACCGGTATTTTACTACTCCCTCCTCCCTGACACAGCACGTCACACAAAAGCCCAAGATCAAAAAGGAAAGGATCTCATATCAGCACAATGAACATGATGAAGTGCATTCAATAAACTTTCAGATATCAGTATCTTTTGATTTCAGTTCGAAGCTTCCACGTCCACCTCGATACTTGAAGGCTGTGCATAAAATAATTGTTCTTCTCAGGTCCATGTTCCCTGTACTAGGCTGTAGTTCGAATCGATCTAAGAAACTCGATATCGAAGACACGAGTGTTTGAAATTTGTAGAGAGATAATTATTTTGGTTGTTCCAATTGACGAAGAAAGTGGAGAGAACCTTCAGAAGAGCTTGCACAGTTGGTGTGTTTTTCTGGGCGCAGAGGATCAGTGCCAGTCGCAATGGGTGTTTCTGCGTCCACCGCGGGCGATGCGCCGTTCGCTGGCGGAAGTGAGGCGTTTCACGTGCTGCGTGTTCAGGAGGGCTCTCCGGGAGCCAAGGCTGGTCTGCAAGCGTACTTTGACTACATCGTCAGCGTGGAGCAGACGCGCCTGAGCCAGGACGACGACGCGCTGCGGAAGGCGATGGCGGCGTACGAGGATCGGCCGGTGCGCCTGACCGTCTACAGCAGCAAGGCGCGCGCGTGCCGCTTCGCCACGGTCACGCCGAACAGCGTGTGGGGCGGCCAGGGCCTCCTGGGCGTCAGCGTTCGCTTCTGCTCGTTCGGCGGCGCGCATGAGCGCGTGTGGCACGTGCTGGACGCGCAGCCGAGCTCCCCGGCCGCGCTCGCCGGCCTGCAGAGCGACAGCGATTACATCGTCGGCGCGGAACGCGTCCTGCACGAGGAGAGCGACTTCTACAACCTGGTGGAGAGCTGTGACGGGCGCGCCATGAAGCTGTACGTCTACAGCAGCGTGACGGACTCGTGCCGCGAGGTGCAGCTCAGCCCCAACTCGAACTGGGGTGGCGACGGCCTGCTGGGCTGCCGCATCGGCTACGGGTACCTACATCGCATTCCCGACCCGGGCCCCGCGGCGGTGCTGCCAGTGCCCGCACAACAGCGCGTCGTTCGCACGCCGAGTCAGACGCGCCACTACCCGGCGGCCACCACGGTGGACAGTCGCGGCTTCGTCGAGGTGCCGCTGGATTCGCCGCAGGTGTCGTCGTTACCGCCGCCAGTGCACGGGCAAGCAGCTCAATTGTCGCTCACAACAGCACAACAGCAACAACAACATCAGACCATGCCTAGTACTGCATTGTCCAATGGCGATATGCGTGGTCCTCATGCAGTGCACAACAATGCTGCTGCTGGCAATGTCAGTGGAAGCTCGCGCTCTTCTGCATCCAGTACTGCGGATGCCGGGCACCACTCCCACGACGAGCCAGCCATACCGGGACGGTACCAGGTTGCACAGCTTCATAACAACACCCACCCCCACCACCAACAGCAGCAAGTACATACACAACATCAGCCGCCGCATGCATCACTGCCAGTAGAGCAACCTCACGTCCCGCAAGCGCAGCACCAATCTCTTGCCCAGCAGCAGCAGAATCAACTCCACCTTGCTCAGCAGCAGCAGCAGCATTATCAGCAACTTCAGCAGCAGCAGCAGCAACAGCATGTTGCGAGTGGACAGTTTGCTCCGCAGTCACTACCGCACGCCGTACCGCTCGCTCACGATCACGGCACGCATCATGGCACTGCTCACACACCGGCTGTTGGATCATCAGCTCCGACAACGGCAACTATCCCTTCCACTTCACCACTACCAGCACAGCAAATAACTGCCACTCCTGCTGTGTCTGCTCCTGCGGTCACGTCGTCGCCAGCTAGTGCTGCAGTGATGGCTATTTGAGTGTGATTGCCGGTGTGTTCTAGGAACGGTTTCTGCCAGATCATCAAACTCTGTGAGTGCTGCTTGCTCGCCATCGTGTGTGTGTGTTGCCTGCAAGGGACGGCGTCGTTTGCACGGCTTCAGCGCCCGCAGTGCACGTGCTAGTCGGTATGTGTGTGCGTGT